CTAAATGTATTATTCTGTGAACTAGCAAAACCTCCCTAAGGGATATCTTTGGCCTTTAAATGTATTTCTTGAAGAATCAATTTTGCTTCTCTTGAAGATCAAATACCAAGACAGGACTAGGCAATTGGTTGTGTAAGCCCATCTGTATAGACTCATGCGGGAGTCCCAAATATATACACCAATCAGAAGGCTCGGCTTACTTTCATGGTATTTTTTGGTTATAAGGGTTGATCCTGACTGTTCTGGCAAAGATAAATGGCAATTTACCAGTGTTCTTTTAATAATTTTCTATAAAAAGAAATGTACATTTCATTAATCTATAAATTGAATATTAATCATTTTTCTATTTTTTTTTTCATGTAATTTAACAGATTTGTTTTTAATGATGATTTCCTAAATTTAGTGAAATATCAATGAACAAATGCCTGGGATAAAGTTCTTTTATGTTACTTGTGTTTTTAAACTTTTGTCTAGAAACCATCTGTAGTTGCCTTTCCAACTGACCCTCTCATAAATACTTTGATTCAAACATCTCATTGGTCCCTTCCAGGGAGAGAGTAAATAAATGAACACTGAGCAGCAATTCATGCCTTTAACTTGTTCCTTCCCAGTTGATAGCAGCATTGATGCTAACCAGCCATTCATTCCTTCTACTGCTCTCTTCTAGTAGAGGCCAAACAAAGCTGAAGCTAAACAGTCATTAGTCATTGCCTCTGCGGAGTCAGCTTCTTTCTGGCCCTTCCCTTTCTTCAGCCTCCCAAATACCCTCAGAAACACTTTGGAACACAGCTTTGACCCCCTTTAGCTAAATTCTGCATCTAGCCCTTTCAGTCCTTTCCCCCACTGGAATCTGGAAGGAATTCCTGTCAGTGATTTCCCATTGTTTCTATAAACAATTTTCTCTCAATATTAAGTGTTTCTAACTGCATGACTTCGATTCTTTTTCATTTTATCTATTTTATCTTAAGTTGTAAATTTTTAAGAACAAAGGTAAATCATATTTGAAAAATAATAAAAATAATATATTCAAATTAAAAAGGAGGCGATTAATTTCTGGAAAAACAAAAGGTTGCACAAGAAACAAAATACAATCAGAATATGACACTTAGCTTGGCATAGTACTTATCTAGATATAATTTTAAAAGCCAATTACAAATATAAACAAAAGTATATGAAAACTACATTAGAAGAATGGGAAGAAAATTGTGTGTGTGAGTGTGGGATGGTCAGGAGAATCAAACTCATTTTCCTTGGGAAGCAGAAGAAAATAGATAGTAACTAACAATACCTAAAAATTATCAGTAGAACCTTCCTGAAGAATAGCAAAAAATGTTTAACATTGCCGGCATTGGGGAGTAGGAACTAGCCACTTGTCTGGCTAAGCCAGGGAACCACCCATGTTATAAGCTTTGTAGTATTGTTTTGGCTTTGAAAACCATGAATACCTATTGCTATAATAAAAGATAAGCCGTACGCAGGGGCACACACCTGTGATCCCAGAGGCTCTAGAGACTGATTCAGGAGGATCTTGAGTTCAAAACCAGCCTCAGCAAAAAAGCAAGGTTTCTCACAATTCAGTGAGACCCTGTCTTTAAATAAAAAAATATAAAATAGAGCTGGGGATGTGGCTCAGTGGTCAAGTGCCCCTGAGTTCAATCCCGAATACCCAAACACACACACACACACCATTTAATTAAAAAGTAATTTTAAAAAGAATCATAAACAAATAATTGAAAAAATTATCTCAGGCAAGATCATCTTCCTAAATTGAAATCAAGATCCTCTCCCTCAGTAACCTGACTCCCTAGAGTCAGGTCAGGCTGTTACCACAGGTGTAGTCATTGGAGCCTGCATGCCTTGGAATGAAATCTTTCTGGACCTGGAGTCTCACCAGCTTCACCTGCAGGCTCACCAACAGGCCCGCTCTTCTGCCTGGCCAACCCTAGTCTCTTCCTCCAGAGTAGAGCGCATTATAACACGGTAGTAGTGATGGTGGTGGTAGTGGTGGTGATGGTAGTGGTCCGTTAGGTCCTTCCTGTGATTCTCAGATACATCTACATTCTTGATACGATTTTAAATGGTGCTCCCCTTATGATTTTTATAACTGCAATCAGCTATCTAACAACGTTTATGGAAGGAGAGGCATCAATTCTCCTTACCAGTAAAACTATTGTTTCCATAGACTTTTTGTTGCATAGTCCATGAACTGTGCAAAAAATGCCACCTTGATTTCTCATTTTCTCAAAGAGCTCTGTACTCCCTGAAGCTTTGTACGCATGTTGTTGCACATGGCTGCCCTCTGTCATCATGGAGTAGTGAGTTCTGATCACTGAGACTGTGTCAGGTGCCAATACTCATCCTTCAGATTAATGCTCTACCAAGAATTTTAAGAACATCATTTCGGTTTTACTGCAGTCATCTACCCTTGTTTCTGAAATTTAGTTGTGTTGTTGGCATGTGTATTTAGGTTAATGTCATGGTGAAATCCAATGTGTGAACACGGGGCTGTACTAAAATGGGCACATTACTCAAAGGGTTTTTCGGGCTCTTCCATCTCCACCAGTTGCTTTTTACATCAAAGGGAGAGAATAGTAAGAAACCACATAGTTGGTTTTCTGACTGTTTTACAATAGCACTTTAAAGTCAGGACTCTTTATAAGCATTCAAGGAAGAAATGCATAAGCAAAGTTTTAAGAAAACTTTTATTGAAAGATTGGACTTACTGAAGAAACTATGCTAACTGGAATGTTGTATAATCTACATTAGAATTCTTGTTTTCATTTCATAAAATGTAACTCATTAAAGATCAAAATGTTTATATGAATTAGTCTATGCAAAGCTGCTTTGGTGTTCTCTGTGAAGATGTTCATAGTTTTTCTTTCTTTATAAAAACCTTATGGAGATTAGAGATTATTTTTCTTAAAAATTCTTAACCTTTCATTCTATTTAGCATTAGCAGTAAGCATCTTTGTATTCATCATATTGATTTATATCTCTCAGATTGATAAATGGATATGATGTCAACTGTGGGAATAGCAGTGATTTGTTTGAAGATCAGTCCAACTTTTAGGAAATAAATACATGGCTTTTCAGAGGGTTAGAAAATCTGTGATAATACTTGTGCTCATTTATAATATAGTCATAGAATCAAAGATGTTAGAACTCAAAGAGAGCATCCGGCTTAATTTTATGGATGAGAACTATGAGCTCAGAGATGAGTGGCTTTTCAAAGTTAAATAGATAGCATATACCAAATCTTAAGTCTCTTTGATTCCAAATTCATCATTTCTTCCACCGTGTTATACTATCAAAATATTTTTTAAGTCTTGCTAGAATTCTATTTAAGCCCACAGAAATGCCCATTTACTAACTGAAATCCAAGCACCAAAATTTCTAATTGTTCTCAGGTTTTATATTATCAGTATATATTTATATATCATATTATATTAAGAAATCCATGTTATTTTTCTAGTTCTCTAATGGCAACATTAATTATCTTGGCTTCCAATGCAGGATCACACTGCAAGTGCTTGCGTTCATTTACAGTTTATGTCTAATCACTGTATAATAGCTTTTTGGTCCACAAACCATTTGTTTTAAAGCATAAACTCCTGCATCCAAATTTTTTTTTTTACAATTATAAATTCCTGGACTGCAAGGACATTAATGATTTTCCTAGACTAGAGGTGTTGCTTAGTGGTAGATTCTCACCTAGCATGCAAAAGGCCGTGGGTTCATTACTCAACAACAACAACACACGCACACACACACACACACACACACACACACTTTCCTATTGTGTACAGGATGCATAAAATGCACTTTGATACCCTAAATAAGTAACTTAACATGAAGTGCGAGGGATTTCTTTCAAGCTCATGTTTGTGTGTTTGTGTGTGTGTGTGTGTGTGTGTGTGTGTAAAATCTGAATCAATGTCTTTGTGCCCTGGGGCAGTTCCACGTTTGTGTTTTGTGTGGCCTACATGCCCTATGGGCATTTGCCAGGTGATAGTCATTATAATAAGTATTATTGTTACAGCCCTATTCTTTCCTTTTCCTTTTATTAAGGCCACACTTCTACAAAATAGCTGAAGAAGCTGATCACATGGAATACATTTTATTTTTATATAGTCTTTAGAGGACTGGTTTCAGTTCATCATAATATTCAACATAATTATGGAATCTGAAAATTGGAAGGAACATTGGAAAACAACCTCTTATGTCTACTGTGAAAAAATATTTTAAATAAAAGCAAAGAAATCCTCTACAGTTCTTCAATAGCTAACATAGCTCATAACCATTAAAATTAGTTATCTTATTACTTTTATAATTCCTTATTTTTGCAATGGGATCACATAACATATTTATGTCTGCTATCAAAAGATTATTTAGATTATTTACTGGTGGTATAGATCACAGATTTTTAAAAAGTCTTGATTTTCTTAAGATCTTTCTAATAACTACCTATATTCTTTGAAAAGCATATTTTAATTTCTGAGATTTTTTAATAGAAATGAAATGAAAAGGAGTACTAATATCAGAATGAATTGAAGTCTACCTTGGGAATGATTTTCCTTGAGGATAAATAGAAAAATAAATATTCCCAGGCAAACTATACAACAGCTCACCAGGTTTGGCCCATCAGAAGTGGCTATATTTGGGGGTTGTGTGGGTACTAAACTGTGGTTTCCAAAGAGATGTTCCTGAATTCAGCACAAAGCACAATCTGGCTGCAGTCACTGTCTCTATAGCACTCTTTCACCAAAGGAGAACTTAGATCGTGTTGATTATACTGATTATATACGTCAAGCAGTCCTTAGCTGCTCCTTTGTTATTTAGGAAATTTTCTTGAGAAATAAGTTTCTTGATTTCATATTCCTGAGCGCAGTGCGGTTGAAGAAAAAAAAAAATTTCAAGCGAGAAAGCTGCACAGCATTCAGGCAAAATCTGGTTGGAGAGGAAATCTGTTCCCATGATTAGTGCGCGAGCTTCCCCAGCTAGCCTGTAGGTGGGTGTGTTTAACAGAAGGAAGCAATGGGGACCGCCTGTCAGCCAGCCTTTCGAGCTAATTAGCTCAGCATACAACAAAGATAAGTGAGCCTGAGAGGAGGGCCCCCTGAGGGGTCTTTAGATTCTGGGAAATGTCTGATTGGCAGATGTTAAAAGGGATTCTTTGGTAATCCAGTGCATCAATGAGCTGCACAAATTCAGTCCAGGACTGCAAGAATTCAGGCATGAGGACACTGTGCAGCAGGCTCACACAGACAGACCCGAGATGGACAGAACCTTGGAATCTCTGAGACACATCATTGCCCAAGTCTTGCCTCACAGAGACCCAGCTCTAGTCTTCAAAGACCGTAAGTATTGAACGGGAAAGAAGGGTTGTTTTTTTTTGACTTTAGAAAATAGTTCTAAACGTCTAGTCACATCCCATTTAAGTATGAATTCTTCTAAATCTCTGTAGTCGTGTTCTGTGTCCTAAATGATGTCTAACTTGTTCCTGACTCCAGTCAGAAGAATGATTTCATTTCATCTACTGGCAAGAGGCACTGGGTGATTTTGCAGTGACACATCTTGCAGGACTGTTTAGAAGTTCCTTTCTTCTAAAATCTAAAACCCGCCAAATCTTAATGAACTTTTCCAGATGCTCTTTAAATAAAGCAGGACTGACTGGAACCGAGATTAAAACTAAAAATAAGTTGGAAATGATAATAAAATATACCTGTATTTGTTAACCTGTTTCATTCTCCACAACATATATTAGTTTTGTTAGATCAAGTATTGTGTTTCTATAAAATTTTGTTGCAAAGTTTAATAATGAATCACCACTGAGCTCTTTAATTTTGATAACAAATTATAACACTTCAGGTAAAAATAAAATGAGAATCACCGCCCCCCCAATCTCAGCAAAACCCCATCCTTTGGTATAGGTGTTATTTCAAAATCTTTTAAAAAAATAATTATGAAAAATAATTAAATCAAGCTTTCCAATTGTAGCAATACTATTAAACTATTTGTCATATAACTTCGTTTCTGGAACCAATTTGATTTCCTGCTGCTGCAAAACAGACTATCTTCACGTTGTATCTTATCTACAGTGGGTTTCATATTACAAAGGGCTTCTGAAATAGAACTTTGCTTTGGAACTGCCCAAAAGGTAAAATGCATATGGATTTTTTTTTTTTTAACTTCAATCGGTTACAGCTTTCCTCCTTGTGAATCTAGTTATGTTTGTCTCCATCAAAACATCAATGGTTTGGATTTTTGCTTTCTGATTACTGAATAACGTTCCTTTCCAGATGTCCTTTTAGTTTATATTTCTCATATGTGTGATGAAAAAAGAGAAATGTTGGGCCATTTTATTCTATAAATTTTTCCTCTTAGAAATTAAATTGTAACCAATCTACCCTCTAAGGCATAAAGTGAAAGCCTTTTCTTCTTCTTCTTCTTTTTCTTTTTTAATATTGTCTGCAAGCATTTGTCAATAGCTATGTTAGAGCTAATAAAAATCACTCCATCCCCTAGCCTAGCCTGGAGTCTATTCAGGCGTGGTATGTTTCTTTAAGTGAAAAGAGAAGGAAAGAATGTCTCTCTCCTACAAAGGCTCTGAATTACTAGCGAAGGATAAAAGGGCTTTTCGGCTGCCCAAAGCTTTGGATAAATTATATAGGACCAGGGGACTTATGCTGAGAGTGGAGGCAGTAAAAAGAAATAGAAGATTTTTCCCTAAGCTCACTGTAAATTTAAGAAGTTTAAATCTGAGATTGTATGGCCCACTTTTTAAGCTGATCTAAATTCCAGAAATTGCTTACAGTTTAGAAGAGAGAATAGAATTCTTTAGAGGGAGTAATAATGAAGCTTATATTAAGTTCTATCATCCAGACTTTTTCAGGAAGTCTTTTATATCCAAAAACAAAAGCATCCCATTTTATATATTTCATTCATGGATACAGAACCTAGATTTGATCCCGTAGCATTGCCTGCTTACCCTAGCCTGGGCTGCCACTCTGCAGTTGCTTGCCTGGCTTAATGGGTGTGAATATTAAGCTACTGACCCTCTTCCTTCTGGTTTTTATAATGTGAAAAATGACTCCGTGAAAGGGAGTCAAATAGTACATTTCTGGACCAGGAGTTTCCATAGCATTGAAACATCTTATCACTCACCATCCTGTGGAATAGTGGGAATGGGTTAACTTGCTTTCTGGTGCAGAACCTCAAGCCTGGTTGAGGTCTAAACCATGCCTTGGCAACCTGTAGGTGCTACACATGCCAGAGTTTGGCACGTGGACCTCCTTTCTTTGGCACACTCATAAGTTGCTGCCACCACACTTTTGCTGGCAGCCTGTAAAAAAACTGCCACTAGCCTTGAATGGCAGGTTCTGAGAAGCTCCCCCTCCTCCTGTTCACTCCTGGCTCCTCCTCCTCTGCCACCCCTTCCAACCTCTTTCTGCCAGAAGGGAAGGGCTGAATACTTGAGCACATTACTGCCAATTAAGAAAAATGGTCACCTTGCTTTTCTGCAAGCTCAAAAGCTGATCCAAGAATTTTTAACACCCAGCCCAGTTGAACAAAGAAGCATAAAAAAAAAAAAAAGACTTTCAGTTTTTCTAATTTTTTCTTCTGTGAATACAAAAGCAGCATTTGCTCTCTTCATTATTTGGACACACAGAAGGCAGAAAGTGTAAATGGTCACTCTATTCATTCATTGCCCTCCGTTGGCTTTGGATTTGCTTAAAAAACAAGCAATTGGTCAGGAAAAGCACCCAGTACGTTTTCTGGTCTGAGACAGATACACATGGGAACAGTTACATTCATTGAAGGAAATGAACTTCTCAAGTTTTTTTCCTCAGACAAGGAGGTCCTTCAAATTTTACAATATGTTAAATCTGTCATTTTATTTTAGAGGAGGTGTTCATCTGGGAGTATTTGTGATTTGTTTTTTATTTTCTCTACTGAAAGGAAATTAATTCCATAACACGTTTTTTGTTCTTTATTCCCTATTTCACATTTCAAATAAAAAATAATGGAAAGAGGTTTTAAACAAGGCAGGCTCTCAATTTGAGGTTTGCTTGTCTAGGCTGACACTGGACTGTTCTTCACTACATCAATTTCTCTTCTTTGTAACAAGTAGCACTGGATAGTTCCATACTACCAGACAGGATGTCTTTGCAGAGAAATTATGGAATATGTCCATGCTGCAATATCCAGGTTCTCTTCACGCATCATGCATCACAACCAAAGATGAGCTCTCATGAAGGTGGTCCTGGTGCTCTTTCAGGGGAGTATATGTGCTTACTGTTTGTTTGCCACTGTCTGCCATGTCCTCAGTTGCTTTCTCAAAAGATATCATCACATGACTATAAGAGGATTGCACTTGCAGATTCTGATCTGAGTGTTAATTCTTCAGATTGAAGGAGTGTAATATGCTTATCAGCCATTTTGGAGCTCCTCCTTCGTCCATTTAATAGTAACATGAGGATAGCAAGTCCTGGTCATGTGACAGGTACTGTGCTAGAAACATTGTCCTCAGCAATCCCGCAATACATATCGTTGTTATTTATAGGTAAGGGAACTGAGTTTCATGGAGGTTAAGATAATGTAGCTAATAAGGGATGGAGGCACAGGATACAAACTCCTCACCTTTTGTTCTTTAGTCTTCCAACTCCTCACCTTTAGTAATTAAAAGACTCAGGTGTTGGTTACCATGTCCTTGCATTATAATAGCAGTATCTATTAGGAAAACATGGAGGGGAAAGAAATAGGCTTCTCGAGAAGTTTGAAGAGAGCCTATTGGTTACATCTGAGCAAGAGTATGTTGAGAAAGTGAGAAGAAAGGGCATATATTTTGGGGGTGAGGGTACCAGGGATTGAACTCAGGGGTACTTGACAACTGAGCCACATCCTCAGCCCTATTTTATATTTTTAATTAAAAAAAAAGATCTCACTGAGTTGCATAGCACCTCATTTTTTGCTGAGTCTGGCTTTGAACTCGTAAACCTCCTGCCTCAGACTTCCAAACTCCTGGATTTACAGGTGTGCACCACTGCACCCAGCAGGAAGGGCATTTTTGAGGAGAGAAATATCTTGTCCAATAGAAATGCAAGAAGCATGCCCTGGGAGGATGCAAGTTGGATCTGACTGACATTCAGGCAAAAGGGAGCCATTGGAGTTAACCATGATCCTAGATAAATTCAGGGAGTTTATGGCTTTATAGTACATTGGGGAAAAGCTTATATGGACATCTGTTGGAGGTACACTTTCTAATACCTAAGTTAGGGGAAATCACAGCTTTTTCTCAGCAAGAAACAATTCACTAGCTCAGGCAAGATGTAAGATTTGTGAATGTCAAATGTGCTTATGGGGAGAAACCACTTTCATTGACTGAAGGCCAAAATCAAGACATACTTTCTTTAAAAAAAATTGTTTAAAAGCTGGCATAATTATCAATATGAAAATGAGTTTTTTTTCTAGCATTGACTTTATAAAGTGACAGGTATATTTCCCTCTATCTCACAATTAAAAAGTAAGATGAAACTTGTACTAAACGTTGCTCAACTGGAAGAAAATTTCTCACATATTTGAGGTGCATTAACTCTTTTATTTAGAAAAACATTTTTCTGCATGAAAGGTTTTATTTATATCAGATAGGTGAATACTTTACTTCAAAGAGTATATTTTTACCCTTTGGAAAAATTGAACCAGACGATAGAGCTATTAAAAACATCTTAGTAATCATGACTCTGGCTATATGCAGCAGAGGAGAGCAAAACCCTCAAGAGTCAAGTATTTTTTCCATCCCATGCTTTTTAGTGTAGTTACTTGAAATCTATAAATTTGATGATACATTTATAGTTTTCACATTTCACATAAAGGAATGGAGTAGGAGGGAAGGGATGGAGGTCCTTGTGGGGTAAAATCCCTACACACATTGCACTGCGTTCCACAATAGAAATCATGCCTGAAAGAATATACAACTCAGAAACAAACAAAAACTTCACTGTTTGCTCTCTCATTTTAGAATAATGACTACATCTTAATTATAATAATTTAAGCTCTGATAATTTTAGCATTAAACTGGAGATGTGTGTTTTATAGAAGCCTATTCAAATAGTAGTTTTACTTTATTATGCATGTTGCTATTTTTATTTGAATTTATACTAAGAAAAATGTAGATTTCAATTCAGCCATCAGTGACAGAAGAGCTGTTTGACATTTGACAGGTTTAAATACTGAAAGTCTCAGCACCAGAGAAAAATTTTTCAAAATGAGGGGGGGGAGTGGCTTCTTGATCACAGTGCCCTATCTGTCCTGATACTTTTATTTCTTGTGTATAAAAAAGACTTAACAGATCAAAATA